ATAATATATATATAATAATAATAATATATATATTATATATATAGTGTATATATATATATATATATATATATATAGTATATATATATATACCACCTGCTACACGTGACATGTGTACAATGCAGCGTTTCTATCATCGCACCTATAGCATATATTGAATCCCACGTATGCCATTACCATCGCCATGACCAGCGCCCATGTCTGTACACAAGTCTATTTAACTTCACTACCTTTACTGACCGCGCTGATGCCAACTGTTCTCAGGTGCCCTATATTCGACGTTACGCGTGCACGTACGTGTAGAGTGTAGAATGCAGTATATCTCTATACCATCACACACGTAGTGTGCATTGATACACACACATGTCACTACCATCGCTTACAGTCAGCACCCACGTACATACGCAGTCGTATTTAATCTCACTAATTTCACTACTAAGCTGAACGCACGGCGGTCAGCCTTGTTCCTCCCAGTTTACCAGCGTCTCGGGCGATACGGGATCCCACCCGTCCGGTGCAAACCGTGACCCCTTCGCCCTACTGGCCTGGTACAGCTTCACTCCCCTGGCCACACAGTCCTCGTTATACACCTCTAGCGCCGTGTCTATATCCTCGCTCTGTTCTAAGGCTTGTCCCAGCACATAGGCATCCACCATGGCCGTGTAGGCGCCCGCACTCGTTGTAGGGCTGGCCAAGTGGGCTGCATCGCCTAGTAAGATGACTCGGCCGTTGACCACGCGATCTGCAACGAATTCCCACACGGTATGCGGGGTGACCTTGCCGTATTTGGCGCATTGGGACCAGAAAAACGCGGTTTCTTCTCCGAAAACTTGGTATATGAAGGGGATAAACCAGTTGGGGACTGCTCTCCTTCGGATAGCGTAGGCGTGCTTTCCTATGGCCTTCTCCTCCTTGATAAAGCTTTCGTTGAAGCTGTGTACCTCGCCATGGTTTGTAGGTATGTTTGCCACTGGGTTCGATTCCAAACTGCTGTCGGCAAAGTCGTCTGCTTCGTCCGTAACCTGCCTATTCAATGAAGGTCCATGGACTGATTCCTCAGGCATACCCATATACAACTCACAACTTAACAACTCCGATTTTCCGGCTATTATCGGATAGCCCAATGTCACGTAGTCTACACCGTTTACCTGCTCATCGCCACAGGGGGGTCCTTGTGTGTATTGGACATCGCACAGACCTCTATACAGAGTATATCCCGCATATGCTGGTAGTTTACGGGTAACATACGGCCGTGTAGTCGACCTGCCCCCATCTGCACCTATAATTATATCGAACTCCAGACAGTGCTCACCCACGGCAAGTTTTAAGGGTGCGTTTGGTACTACAAAGATCTGTTCCATTTCCGACTCGAAATGTACCGTGTCTTCGGGCAACGCATTGTATAAACAGGACCACAGAGTGCCATAGAAATGACCGCGCTGTTGGATGATATTCTTGGATAATATGTTCATATCTGCTTGCATCTGTTTATTGACACCTCCGCATATTTTCTCAAGTAGTACCAAGTCAATGGCACTAATTGCTCCTCCTCGGTCTTGAAATCCTTTGGGCGATCTCTCGTATACCTGTACGTATACGCCTAACTGATGTACTACATTTGCCACAGACAGTCCACCTACCGAAGCGCCTACAACAGCAACCCGGAGGTTTGTTAACCAAGAAGTGGATGTATTCATGATGCTTTTATTAGACTAGCGGATACAACGGTGACATATACAAACCTAGGTGTCTGCACAACAATATAAAGCTCTATTTTCTCCCACAAAACCTCAGGATAGTTTTCAGCATCTTTTGATGAACGATTATGTAGGTCAGTCGATTGTTTAATATACTCTTGTAGGTTACTTACTACTGCATGTAAAGAGGTGCATGTTAAGTTGTATATAGTAATCCAAGGTGCGTTTCATATCACGAATTCACGATTCACGTATATAAACACACAGCCAGCCTCAACAGACTACAGTCCTTCGGCCCACAGCCTAGGCCGCCCTATTTACAGTTTACAAATAATTGTTTACGTATTTATATTTTTTACGCAAATATAAACAGCCAATTGTGATGAATTAATTGTTGTGGGAACCTATTACGTTAAATTCATTTTGCACCTCTTTTGTTTTTTAGAAACAAAAGAAAATACTGAAATGCTATAAAAAAACGTGAACGCAACGGCAAATCTGAAGGAAACGTTTTATTTAAATAAAAAAATAAACGTATCAGCACCCAACGCAAAACCATAGCCTCCTATAAAAAAAAAGAATTGGAAGGAGTAGGCTATGCCTATGGCAAAACCGATAAATTTTTATTAGAAAAATAAATAAACCGAGTTTGGACTGGTGGAGTAAATAATGGACCGGGAGAATGGAACTTGTCGCCTTTTATCGCCAGTTGTTTGGTCGGCTACGAGTTATAGCCAATGGCCAGGTTTTATTCGAGCATTTGCATCATAAACCATCATACATATACTTCAGTATAAAACTCAAGGCCCTCTGGATTAGGGTCGCGAGCAGAAATCAGATTCGGTCGTAGCGGAAATCGTAAATTTAGCAGAGACCCAAATCCAGAGGGCCATATAAAACTTCGAGTCTTCAACACACGTGGGCAGAAACGAATGGCCCTTCACTTCAACCAGTGAAAATCCATTGGTTGCCCACTCTGAGAGAATCAGCATTCAGCGCCTCTGCGCCTCGAATGTCCTCTAATAAATATGTACTGATTGTACTCCCTTGGACATAAAACTATTAACGCCTGAGCGCGTGTCCAAACCATATCCGGTCCAGAGGCAAAGGCACTCTCTACTACTACTCTCTCTAGAGTCTAGAGAGAGAGAGATAAAGAGTGAGAGAGGATACAGGTTATTACAGGGTCGTCGACTCGTCATTTATGGGCCCTCTCCATTTTCCAAATACATAGTCAAATACACCTCGGCCCAGAAAAGGCACAAGCCACCAGGGCCCAGTGTACACCAACAACGACGGTGAAGACGCCATACTCATATATGTATCGGTGAACAAGTGAAGGAACTAATAAATAAAACACCTACAAGTGGGTCGCCGCGACGGTTAAGACGCCATACTCGTATATGTATCGGTGAATCAACAAGTGGAGAAACTAATAAATAAAACACCTACTAGTGGGTCGCCGGGTGTTTAATATAGTATGTTTTGATATCAGTCGTGTACGTGTATTTGATTGCGAGGTAATAGGCCCATCTTGACACATTCCCGGCAGTCCATGGTAGACTTTTATATGAAAGAGAAAACAAAGAAACATCTCATGGAAGAGAGATAAGAGCAGATATTAGATTCTCTTGAAGATGTCGACAACGAGGTAAGTACGTGATATGGTCTTATATATATATATATGTATATGTATGTATATGTATGTATATATATGTATATATATGTGTATATG